AACCCTATTGTAATTATTGAGGCCCCCCACATTAAGCTTGATAGACTTGCGACCATGCCTACAAACCTGAAGCCCGCAAGAACACAACGGGTCCTGCAACCTACGACGAGCACCTAGCGATCAGAGAGATCTAGTATCATCGGTCGCTACGCAAGCTCGACCAACGCTAATTCGAATCCTGCTTCTTGCCATCACAACTTGAAGCACGGATCGAGATCTCTGTGCAAAGGCCCAACATCCTTCTTGCCTTTTTCGCTTGCGAGTTGGGATCTCTCAGAGCTCGGGGGGGGGGGGGTTAGGCCGGTAGACTTTGTCGTCGTGTCTATCACCATCTCCGGCACAAGAGCCAGTACGATCACCAGCAACATCCAGACCAGCGAGACCACTATCGGCATCATCTTGCCCATCGCAATCATCAGCGGCGTCGTCACTGCCCTCATCATCTGTCGTCATCATGCCATGTTCGGATCTTGGTGAGGATGATGATGAGGATGCGGATGATGATGATGATGATGATCATCATCATCATCATCATGACCGTCATCACCATCACCATCACCACCGTCATCATCCTCCGCAGCATCGTGACTGTCATAGTATTCTTCATCGTAGTCGTCATGAGCAGTTTCTACTTCATTATCTTCTTCTTCACCACCACCATCATCATCATGATCATTATCATCCCCGTCGTCGTCATCAACAACGTCATCGTTACCAGCGAACGGCAGAATGAGCAAGTCTATATCTAAAGCCAGTCGGTCCAGTCCTCATCCAAGGATGCCTCTGTGACCTCGCGCGAAGATGCTCTGGTGGCGGCTTGAAGATCTTGATGCGCACGGCACTTGAAGTTTCAGATGTAACTCGATGTACGGCTTCAAGTGAGGTAAATGCTCTTGACATAGGTATTTTTGAGTACTACCCCACTTGTAACCACCCTCAAGCACTAAACCCCAAGCCCTACACCCAAAACCCCTAAGCCCTAAACCCCTAAACCCTAAACCCCTAAGCCCTAAACCCCTGAACCCCTAAACCCCAAACCCCTAATCCCTAAACCCTCAAGCGTTGAGGCAGGGCTTAGTCATCTCAAGGGCTGCGATGTTCCTACCGGTGATACGAGCCCCACACCCTCGAAAAGATGTAGGCTTACGGTTTCTGCCATCCCTAGCAGGCCCTAGCACATCCTAGGGTTTAGTTAGGGTTTAGGGTTTATATGTTTAGGGTTTAGATTTTAGGGTTTATGGGTTTAGGGCTTTAGGGTTTAGGGAAACCCTAAACCCTAAATCTGGGACCGGTTTCTTAGCCCAAACACTTACGAACATGTCGGGTACTAGTTTTCATTCCCTAGGAGCCTCTTTGAGGGTCTACAACACAGCTTAAGGTTTAGGGTTTAGGGTTTAGGGTTTAGGGTTTAGGGTTTAGGGTTTAGGGTTTAGGGCTTAGGGTTTAGAGCTCCGCTGGCCTCCAGCCTCCCGAGAGCTTCCCGGAGCGCCTCGGTGGATCTTTGGGGAGGTTTAGGGCCTTTAGGGCTTTGGGGATCTAGTCTAGGGCCTTGGGTGTTTAGGGTTTAGGGATTTAGGGTTTAGTTTAGGGTTTAGGGCTTCAGGGGTTTAGCTTCGGGCCTTCGGGGTTTTGGGTTTAGGGCCTTTGGGGGTTTAGGGGTTTAGGGTTTAGGGCTTTGGGGCTTTAGGGGCTTGGGGCTTTAGGGGTTTAGGGGTCTAGGGTTTAAGGGTTAGGGGTTTAGGGCTTAAGGCTTCAGGGGTTTAGGGCTTTAGGGGTTAGGGCTTTTGGGGTTCAGGGTTTGGGGGTTTAGGGGTTTAGGGTTTCGGGTTTAGGGCCTTCGTGGTTCAGGGTTTAGGGCCTGCGGAGTTTAGGGTTTAGGGTTTTAGCGTTTAGGGTTTCAGGGTTCAGGGATTCGGGTTTAGGGCTTTAGGGTTTAGGGTGAATCGGACACTGGGAGCCGAACCCCATTTTAATGGCGTTTCGGGTTCAAGGTTTAGGGTTTAGGGGGTTCGGGGTTCAGTGGTTCTCCAAGGGTCCATGTGCCCAGGTAGTATATACTTGGTCCTGGAGTACCTAAATAGGGACTACAATAGGCCCAAAGTATACGCTGACCACTTTTTAAAGTAGTTTTGGCTTTAGGTTTTACGGTTTACTGTTTAGGATACACGGGATAGGATATAGGGTTTAGGGCTTACGGCCCGGGGCCTAGGGTTTCGGGTTTGGAGTCTGAGTCTCGTAATCAGGTCCCTATGTCAGCGCTGATATAAGGGCCGTATAATGTTTAGAGTGGAGCTTGGGGTGGTATATTTTTCGGGTATAGTTTATCTATAGGCAGTGTAAGGGTTTTGATATAAGAAACCACGAGGTCACCCTGCATTGAAGAACTGGGCAGTATTTGACACACCTCATGCTAGGGCCGCAAATTAAAACACGGGTAAGGGTTGAGGGTTAGGGCCTGGGGTTCTGGGTTTAGGGTGTAGGGTTTTAGGGTTTAACCCGTCTGCGTACCAGAAACCTCTTCAGCATCGCGTCAAGGGAAGCCCGGCAATAGGGTTCCCTCTGAGAACTACGCGCTGTGCTGCTACATACCCACACGGGCCGGTAGCTATCCATAGCTGTTTTGGGATGACAGTTTGAGGGTGGGGCCTTCAGCTTTATGTTTATTTGGAAACCAGATGTAGCAAACTAGCTGGGTGTCCCTACACCCAAAACCCTAAACCCAAAACCCTAAACCCCTGTGTTCCTTGCTCATCAGCCCTCAAGCCACATTGCTGATGGCAGCTAAGCTGCTTCCAGCTTTGCGGTAGCCTGAAAAGGCCAACAAAAGCGGCCGACTGGATGAAGACTACAAAGAACAATCCCTGAGAATCTAGTCTGGCAAGCCGGAAGCACAAGTGATGTACACAGGGTCTGTTTTAGCTTCCGACATCCCTATAGAACAGGAAGCCCTCAACTCTGAAACTATCAAAACCCTAAACCTTATACCCTAAACCCAAAAAGCCTAGACCCCAAACCCTAAAGCCCAAACCATAAACCCTAACTTTGGGGTTTAGGGTTCAGGGTTCCAGGG